CACTTGTAAACGTGGCTAACCGTGTTTATAAGCGTTTGGTTTGGAAATTTTTTTTAACTGTTCCATTTCCAATGTTGTCCACAGCCTTTTTTCATCATGAAAAATGCATGGAAATTGTTTTTCCGGTACTCAAATGGACCCGGTACACCATACTTTGAGGTTTCGCATGAAAGAAAATATGTTAGACACTGCTGCAATCATTTCTGCACAGAAATGAGCTGGAACCACATCCAAACACCACAAAAAAAAACAAAAAACAAAAAAAAAAACAGCTAATTATTATTATTATACAGTATTTATATAGTGCTAAAAGGTTTGCTCAGCGCTGTACATTATAGCTAATCTCAACAAATTCTGCTCTCTCTGTTTCTGCTCTATTTCTCTCAAAATGTCGGAAATAGTTATTTTGTTTTTACTGTTTTTCAGTGCATTCTGGGCATTTTGGAAGGTCTCCTGAGGTTATCTTTATAAAACGCTTCTAAACGCAAACGCTTATAAATGCTCATAAACGTGGATAAACGCGGTATGCAAACGCGGCTAAACACACGTTTTTTTAACCTACGTTTTCCAGCAGTCAGTTTCCATCGTTCAGTAGTGTCCCGTGTACATGGAGCCTTATAGTGCAAAAATATAAAAAACACACAGGTGATCAAATACCACCGAAAGGAAGCTCTATTTGTGGGGAAAAAAGGACATAAATTTAATTTATGTACAGCGTTGCGTGACTGCACAATTGTCAGTTAAAGTAACACAGCGCCGTATCGCAAACAATTGCCTGGTCAAGAAGGGGGGTAAATCCTCTGGAGGGCAAGTGGTTAAGTGCCTCCAGAGAAAGTCTTGACAATTCCCTTATAGTGACTGAATCAAGCGCTCGTTTTACTAGACTGAAGCATGTTGTCACAGTAGTATGTCAACGGTTTTGAATCACTCCTTTGGTCGGTGTGTCCTTTATGGGTTTGGCCAGATACATGACCTTACCATTAGAAGTTGCTGTAGCCTTCAAGGACGTACTCAGTCACTGCATTGTTCTTGATCTTAGACGGTGAAGCCTAAATAGTGTTCAGTGTGGCTTCCTGCCTCAAGATAAATGTCTGTTGAGTTAAAGGACAGTGAAGTTCAAGAGTCCATTTCCACGCTTACTCCAGAGAGGGTAGCTTCTGCATTTCTGGCTGGGAGCCAAAGAAAATGCCAGCACATAATCCAATAAGTCAGCAAACAGCTTCATGTCAGGATGCTTTCTGGTATTTTGGGGATTGTGCCATTCATACATGTCTTATGGGCACTTGGTAGCTCCTCTTTGGACATAGGTACAGCTTTGGTGACGGACACATGGTCCTTCAAGGCAAGCATTTCAGGCAATATTTTAGGGAGATCTTTCATCCTTCTCATCTCAGATTGGGCCACATAAATTGCCTTCCTCCAGCAGGTCAGGTAGGCTCAGTTGAGCTCTTGAAGGAAGACCGAGGGCTGGGCCCACAGATTCAGAGGGTACACGATGCCACACAGACACAGACAGCGGTTCTTTTTAAAACAATTAAGTTTACTGAACAGTTATAGTGATCATGTAGTTGAGCATACGTAAACAGAATGATAACAGCGCATAACCATACAGTAAGAATAATACTGTCTAACACTAACCCCGTACTTGCGGACTTTTCCCAATGTCCAGAAAGCAGCCTGGCTGCGCCTGAATGTTCCTGAGCAAGATATAATGTTGGGGTGCACCCTAAGTATTGCGCAATACTATTTGTAATCCAAAGGAAAGTGGAATGTGTCTCTTGTAACTTTCTGGTATATCCAAAATGTCACTGACCACGTGTGGTGCGATGTACTGCGGCAAAGCCGCACTTACAGTTCCCTGGCAGGCTCTTGGTGCTTTCTCCTGACCCACTCCGGAACCGGACCATACAGTCACTTGTTTCCTGGTCTCGTTGTGAATCTTCCATAGGTGCCCTCGCCAGATTCCACTGTGAGCCGTAAATCCTCTTCCAGGCCCCACACAGATTCTCCAGACGTCCTCAGCATCCAACAGCCAGACCCAGACTCCACTTCCTCCTCAGCACAGGAACTCCTCCCCTTCCCATAGAGTTTGTGATGCAGTAAGTCATTTCTTAATTGCAGCCTCAAACCTGCATTTACAGTTCACTATGACCCTTCTGAGGGTCCTACTCGGCCCCTAAATTAGTATTCATTAAATTTTATAGGGTAAATAAGCATTTATCTTGTCTTAGCAAAAGTCACAACAAAATCGATTCTTGTACTTTGCTGCTATCTACTGACCAAAGAGCATATTGCAGTTTAACATTACAGACCAGTATTAATCCATGTGTCACACCCTTACACTCTCACGCCCTTTCAAGTCGGGTTTCTGGACTGGTAGCAGTCAGAGGGCCTAGGTCAGAAGATACGGATTGTGCCCTGTATGTACAGTAAGCCTAAACTTGTGGTTGGAGAAGTAGAATCTTCTGCGATGCCATTCCCATCTGACGACCTAGTGGCTGGTGGTGCAGTCAGACACCAGCAAAGTAGTTGGAGAGCCCTCATTCAGGATCAGTGGGCTGAGTAACAATGGCCTTTTTCAGGGGTCCAAGATGGTGTCCAACATCCTGGAGTTAAGAACGGAATTTCAGGCTCTTAGCCTTCAGCCTTAGCCATCCAGGATGGACCTGTCCTGGTGTAGTTAGACAGCACAAAGACTGTGGCCTACATCTAGAAACAAGGGGGCACTCAGTTTCTTCCATCTGAAGGAGGTTTCTCAGATTCTAGAGTAGGTCCAAGTCAATATCCTGCAGCTATCTGTGGCCTATGTGCCCGGTCGGAAGAATCTTTAGGCAAACTATTTGTCCAGGACAATCCTTGACGATAATGAATGGTCCAGATTGACGCAAGTCTTTTGAGAACTAACGGGCTTGGTAATTTTTTCCAGAGGTAGACCTGTTCACTTCCCCAGTCAACACCAAGTTGCTGAAGTTCTATTCCATGGTCCAGCATCCACAAGCAATTGGGGTGGAAGTGCTGATCACAGAGTGGATCTCCAGAACAGCTTATGTCTTTCTTCCTCTCCCTCTGATTTGCAACTTCCTGCTAAGGCTGTGGCAGGGGAAGGTGATAGTTCTGGTGGTGATCCCAGATTGTTTGAAGGGGCCTTGGTACTTTCTACCCCTCTTAAGGGTGTCAAGGATCCACTCCCTCTGCTGGTAAGATCAAATTTTCTTCAAAGCCCCATTTCTCCAACACCTGACAGGCTCAAGCTCATGGCTTGGGTCTTGAGAGGCAGAGGCTGATAGTTCTTGGGTGCTCTGTAAATGTTGTGGATACTCTTATGAAAGGAAAGAAGAACCGCACTAACAGTGCCTATAGTAGCATATGACATAAATTCACAGGATTGCTGCTGATCAAGCAAGGTTTTACACTGGGCTCTTCACAAGCCTGTTACATTCTGAAGTTTCTGCAGGTGGGGCTTGATTTAGGTTTATGCATAATTACTCTATAGGCCCATATTTCAGTTATCTCTGCCTTCACCGGCATACAGTGGGTATCCAACACTCAATTACACCGTTCTTCAAGCTGCAACTTGGTTGAAACCTATCTAAGGGATTGTTTGCGAAGTGGGATCTCCCATTGGTGTTTGACTTGTTTGCATCAGATGCCTTCAATCAAAGTGGCCCCCTGTGGTACCTCTTGCTGAAAACTGCTTTCCTGGTGGCAATTGCATCAACTAGAAGAGTGTCTGTATTAGCAGCCCTAGGGTTTAAAGAACCCTTTCTTATATTCATCCCAGACTGGGTGTTACTTAGGCTGTTGCTCATGCCTAAGTGGCCTTCAGAGTCCATATAACACAAAAAGTTGTCCTTCCTACGTCTCTTGAGGAGTACCCATGGAGTTAGCTCATCAGATGTGGGCCAAGTTTTAAAATGTTACATCAAGGTGACATCTGGCATCAGGAAGTCGGAGCACTTGTTTGTCATTCCACATGGAGCATGTAATGATTTCATGGCTTCCAATGAGATTATTGCCTCTTGGTTGGTGATGCTCATCTCCTTGGCCTACAAGTTGAGAGGGTTGGCTGTGCCAGGGGGATCGCATCACTGTCCACTTGAAGGTTCTCGACCTTGTGAGTGGCAGCAGGTTGAGTGTTCCCAGACACTATCTACAAGGCAGCCACATGGGTGTCAATATACACGTTCATGGCTCATTACTGTATAGAAGCAGTCTTAATGACAGTTGAGCTTGGCAGAGGCATCCTGGCTTCTGCTTTTTAGCTAGAATTGAGGAGTGTATAGCATTATCCCTCCCCTGTGTGGCTAGTTAGTTCCCAGCTGTGCTGACATGGAGCTGTTAGGAAAACGGAAAATTGAATGACAGGTACTTACCAAAATTTTCCTTTCCTGACGAGCTCCATGTCAGCACAATTCCCATCCAGCTTGGTAGGACAAGTTACAGAATGCTGAGGCTGCAGGTGAGGTTAAATTTATGAGTTAGGTCCTGGAAGCATGGGGGGGGGGGGGGCAAGGGGCCCTTACCCAGCTGTGCTGACATGGAGCTTGTCAGGAAATGTAAATTACGGTAAGGATCTGTCATTCAATTTTCCATTATCCATTCATGACAGGCCCTCTTTAACAGCTTGCCTACAGGGCACTTATACCCCCTTCCTGCCCAGGCCAATTTCCAGCTCTCAGCGCTGTCACACTTTGAATAACAATTGCACGGTCATGCAACACTGTACCCATATGAAAATTTTTATCATTTTTTTGTGACAGATAGAGCTTTCTTTTGGTGGTATTTAATCACCTCGGGGTTTTTTAGTTTTTCTTAAACAAACCAAAAACCGCTGAAAATTTTGAAAAAAAAAAAGTTTTTTCTTAGTTTTTGTTGTACAATTTTGTAAATAAGTGATTTTTCTTCTTACCTGATGTGCGCTAATGAGGCTGTAGTGATGGGCACTGATAGGCTGCACTGATGGACACTGATAGGTGGCACTGATGAGGAGACACTGGTAGGTGGCACTGATGGGCATTCACAGGCATCACTGATGAGCACTGAAAGGCAGCACTGATATATGGCACTGATAGGCAGCACTGACTGGCACTGTTAGGTGGCACTGATAGGAGGCACTGACGGGCACTGATAGGCGGCACTGACTGGCACTGATAGGTGGCACTGATTGGCAGCACTGATAGGTGGCACTGATTGGCATCTTCGGCTCTTTCTGTAGATCGGTGATCCGCTATGTCTGAGGGACACAGCGAACCGCTGATCGCCGTGCTGTGCGCTCCCTGAGCCGCGCATGCGCGGTGAGAATGAAAGGACGCCATATGACGTCCTCCCAGAATGAGAGAACCACCTTGCGGCCATCATTGGACCATATGGCGGGCGGGGTGGTGGTTAAAGTGGTAGTTCACTTTCTCCAAAGAACTGTCTATGCAGGTAAAGGGCATCTTTGGATAAAAACAAACTATCTCTCTGACTAAAGTTGAATTATGTCCTTGCTATAGGTGTAGGCCATTTACGTACCTCATGAAGCCTGACTGGTATACTCCCAGGACTTGCTAAGTACTTCCAGGACGTTGCTAAATGAGGCCTAGTCATTACTGCTCGGCTCCACCATCACAGGAGTGAGCTTCTTCTCTGATTTAGACCCTCACATGATCTATCTAGTGTTGCCACCTCATCCCTTTAAACCTGAACACATTAATTACACAGGTTCTGTGGCTGATTAAGTCGGTAATTAAACTCACTTAGTGCCTTATCTGTAGTAGATTAGCCCCAGAACCTGTGTAAATAATATGTGTTCAGGTTTAAGGGGATGAAGTGGCAACCCTAGATCTGTCTCTTCCCTGATTTAGTAGCTCTGAGCTCAGCGTCTGAGAGCTCACTCCTGTGATGGTGGAGGCGAGCAGTAACGACTAGGCCTCACTTAGCAACGTCCTGGGAGTATTCCAGTCAGGCTTCATGGGGAACGTAAATGGCCTACACCTATAGCAAGGACATTACTCAACTTTAGTCAGAGCTGCCCAGTTTGTTTTTTATCTACAGACGCCCCTTATCTGCATAGGCAGTTTTATTTGTAAAGGTGAACTAGCCCTTTAACCACTTCCTGTCCGGACACTTTTACCCCCTTCCTGTCCAGGGCAATTTTCATCTTTCAGCGCTATCACACTTTGAATGACAATTGCGCGGTCATGCAATACTGTACCAATATGAATTTTTTACCATTTTTTTGAGACAGATAAAGCTTTATTTTGGTGGTATTTATTCACCGCTGGGATTTTTATTTTTTTTTACTATGTAAATGAAAAAGTCCAAAAATTTTGAAAAAAAAGTTGTTTTTTTAATAACATTTTGCAAATAAATAATATTTCATCATAAATCTTGGCCAAAATTTATTCCGTTATTTTTTTAGTAAAAAAAAAAAATCCAAATTAGTTTATAACCAAAAATTATAATTTTTAAACATTTTTGTTTACATTTTTATTTTATTTTTTTATATTATTATTTTTTATTTTTATTTTTTTTTTTACATACTGTCACCCTAACTTGTGGGGGGTGATGAAGATTTTTTTTTTTTTTTTACACTGATTGCTTTTACACCCATATAGGATGTAAAAGCAATCATTTCTCTTTCTCTCTGTCTGCATTCTTGCAGTCATTGAGAAGCACTGAGTGAGCTGTGATTAGTCACAGCTTGTCACATGGTACAAGGCTGTTGTGAATAGCCTTGTACCATGTGACCTCTGTGATCATTCACAGATTTCACACGTAGTAAGCAATGATGTCACAAGTGACATCTTGCTTACTACTTTGCATGTGATCACTGATTGGCCAATCAGTGATCACATGATCGGGACCTCGTACAGAGGTCCCGTCCGACGATCGGTGTTTCACTGTGTCCGGAGGACACAGCGGGCACCGGATCGCGGTGCTGCGCGCTCCCAGAAAAGGCGGGTGCCATTTATGAATGGCAACCCGACCCTGGAGTGCCACCGCCCTGCCGTTTATCAACAGCAGGCGGACGGCAATAGGTTAAGCTTTTGCAATAAAACCTGAAAGCTGATTGGTTTCTATCCAGAAGTGAGACTGTTTTTCCACCCTCCAGCTTTATTAACTGCTTCCCTGCAGATATACTGCTACAGGGCGGCAGGGGTGCGCAAAATCATGTATATATATATTCGTGATTTTGCATTCCTGGGTAGGGGGCGTGCGAGATCTGCGCCATACATTCGTGGCCGTCAATCACCAAGTCCCAGACAGTAATTACCCACTGGGGCCAGGTGATTACCAAGCATCCCCAATGGGGAGGAAGACTGTTTTGTTTACTAAGTCTTCCTCCCTGTTGGTTCGGGCACACTGCACAGCCCAGCCATCCAGAGCAGTGTGCTTACAGTGAAGCACATCCCCCCCTAGTAAAACACTCCCTACACATCGTTAACCCTTTGAGCGCCCCTCATATTAACTCCTTCCTGTCCAGTGCCATAGGTACAGTGTCAGTGCTCTTTTTTTTTAGCACTGATCATTGTTTTGGTGTCACCCAGGATGTCAGTGACACCAAGTCAGTTCCCCCCAGTGTCAGGATACCCGCTGCAGTCCCGCTATAAGTTGCTGATCGCCGCCATTGTAGTAGAAAAACAAATCCCAGTATACCGCCATTTGTAAACGCTATAACCTTCACGTAAACCAATTAATTTGCACGTATTGGGATTTTTTTTCTAGCAAAGACATGTCGCAGAATACATTTTAGCCTAAATTTATGACGAACAGGACTGACAACTCAAGGGGCCCCCAGGCAATAGGGGATCATGGGGCCCCTGTGTCCTTGCCCAAACCCAAAAAAAGCCTATGAAAGGGTACCAGGGGCATCTCATGGGGCCCCCTACTGACCCCGGGCCCTTGGGTAGTGCCCGAGTTTCCAAATGGTCAGTCCACCCCTGATGACGAAATTAGATTTTTTAATTTTTTTTTACTGGACATGTTTAAATCCAATATATTTTTACTGGACATGTTTAAGTCCAAAATATTTTTTTCTCTCAAAATTGTCGGTGTTTTTTTTTTATAGCGCAAAAAATTTAAACCGCACAGGCGATCAAATACCACCGAAAGAAAACTCAATTTGTTGGAAAAAAGGACGTAAATTTTATTTGGGTGCAGCGTTGCATGACCGCACAATTGTCAGTTAAAGTAACTCAGCGCCGTAACACAAAAAAGGCCTTGTCAGGAAAGGGGGAAATCCTCTGGAGGGCAAGGGGTCAATAAATCCCATAATGCACTGTTTTTAGTTTAGTCTTTATTTAGAGAACAGTTTTCCATGGTAGGATACTATTGCTCATCCATTCATGACAGGCCCTCTTTCAAAACATTATAAAGTAAAGCTGATTGCATGCTGTTTCCATGACATGGTCTGCACTCTGCTTCAGTCACTGAAAAGAACTCTCCTAGTTAGGGGCAACCTTGCCCTTGGTTTCCACAAATTTGCCCTGCTCCAAAATGGCCACTGCGGGAACCAGGGGTTGTTTGTTGCCGTGTTGACCCAGTAACCATAACCGCCGCGCTGGCCCCCGCCCTTCTATTTACCCGCCCTTTTCACCTCAGATGACATCAGTGGGGCCCGCGCCTACGCCCCGCCCACCCGGGAAAGGACGCGACGAATGGGGTCAAAGACGCGCCTCCTGACGTCAGCGCTCCGCCTCCCCCGCCCTCCTCTCCTCAGTTCATGTCGCGCATAGTGCAGAGGAAACGGCGGCGGCTGAGGAGAGTTCTATGGAGACTTAAACGAGCCGAGCCCCCGGCCGCCATTGTCGCCCCTCGTGGGATATAGCGTTCTCTTCGTGTGTCTTCCGGCTCAGCCCGTGACCAACCGAAACCAGCACCATGTACGCCGGAGCCGGTCCGGGTGAGTGGCTACCCCCCCTCCCCCCGTGTGTGTTCGAGGCCTGGCCGGGAAGAGGGGGTTATAACCTTCCCGCCGCCGGCTCTGCTTTTCCCTTCAGGGCTGCCGGATAACGGCCGGCCGCCGCGCGCCAGGAGCTTGGTCACGTGCCAGCCTGGGCTGAGGGGGAGCCGCGCGGTGCATGCCGGGACATCCCCCTGCTTGTTTAAAGGGACAGGTACCCCCTATATTAGACAAGTGGGGGGGAAAGTGTTTCTGCAGGGGGGGCAGGGGGGGGGGGGGGGCAGCAGTGGTGGTGAACTACAGATCCCAGCTGGGCACAGGAGCTGCCATTGTTTATTGATGTCCAAATCCTGTTGTCTTTTTATTGTATGGTAATGGCCATGTAAGCAGGGCGCAGGCTCTGCAAGTGTCCAGTCTACCTGATGGGAAGGTCAGACATGGCTTACTTTTTTTTTTTTTTTTTTGTATAGTTTTAGTTACATTTCGGTTCTATAAAGTTTTGTTTTTGCATAGATGTTACAATTTATGCATTTGTATATCTGCCATCAGCAGGTTGTGATACAAAGCTGCAAAATGAATGCATGGTTTTGGTAGATTTTGATTTTTTTTTTTTTTGGTCTAAAGGCGGTGGTACGATTAGATTGTGCAGTGTGGGGTCTTTCTGAGAATACAAATCAGATTGGTTGTGTCAGTAGACCTTTTGTACAACTCACCCTTAGCTTTTCCCGATCAGGTAGTCTTTAAAGTGGTTCTAAAGGGTAATTAAAAAAAAAAAAAATATATATATATATATATATATATATAATCTCCATTCAGTCGACTTTTTCCATGAATTCTCTTAGCAATTATTTTACAGGGTAGGTTGCCAGGTCTTTCCCCAACACCTACCATGCAGAGATCCCGCATGGCCAGGGATGAAATATATATTTATATTTCATCCCTGGCTATGCAGGATCTCTTGCATGGTAGGTGTTGGGGAAAGACCTGGCAACCTACCCTGTAAAATAATTGCTAAGAGAATTCATGGGAAAAGTCGACTGGATAGAAATTTTTTTTAAAAAAAAAAAAAAAAAAAAAAATATATAATATATATATATATATATATATATATATATATATATATATATATATATAGTAACATTTTCCCCCTTAAAGTGCTACTTGCCTGCTCTGTGTAATGGTTTTGCACAGAGCAGCCCCATTATCTCCTTTTGGTGTCCCCCACTGGCACTTGTTGCTTCTCCTATTTTGAGTGTGCCCCCCACCCTCTTCAGCTGTGTTATTGACAACACATGAGAGCCAGGCTACGTGCATCCGTGGACACACACAGTGCAGCTCTGCTCAAAGGCTTTTTCACTGATTGTGCTGCTGCCTCTGTGTCCTGAGGGGGTAGGGAGAGAGAGCTGCTGCCTCTGTGTCCTGAGGGGGTAGGGAGAGAGTGCTGCTGCCTCTGTGTCCTGAGGGGGTAGGGAGAGAGAGCTGCTGCCT